GCTTTTTACCGACAAATGCAAATTGCAGTCGAACTTCCAACCTGGAGGACCAGGAGACTGAACTTCATCTGACCTCTACCCATTCACCTTCCAGGCATGATTATATCTTTGGCTCGACAAAACCATCCTGAGTGGCTCTTTGGGTTACAGAGGTGCACAAGCCATTACACCACGTCAAGGTGCAGTCTCGTCGTGATGGCTATTGTTCTCACTGCGGTTTTCTTCGTAACACAGTGCGTATCATAATTGACATATTCTTAACTAGCTCGTTTATGACACGTGATTCGTCCACATTTTCAATTCATAGTTCAATGTCACACGAGGTTGTCAATTCGCGCTGCCTTACGATTCAATCCCATTACTGATAAAGAGATATGGTAAGTTCTAAACGCTCAGTCATTTTTTTCGACGCCTCGTTAGCTAGCGAGAAACAAACCGCCGTTGTTCAGTTATCTATATTGATTTGTGTGATCGGAAATGTGAAATTTCCTTCCCACACTGATTTTTGGTGTGCTCATCTGATGTCAATCATCGGATTGGATTCAGACGAATCCGTTTTCATCCTTGCGAAGTGTACAAGGTGTTGAATTCATGGATCACACCCGTGTAGATACGCACGCGCCATAGCTATTTGGCCTGGAATCCGTGTGCCCCGACCAGAGGCTACCTTTCATTTATACAATTGCACGCTGAACAGAACCTTCAAGTGCATGCGATGTGACCAAAACAACCGTGTCGTTCCAAAGAAGGAATAGTTCATAAACGATCTCGGTTCATAGGCGTGTTCGAGGTCATAGAATTTTTGGGATTACGATGTTGTTGTTGCTGTTGTTGTTGTTGTCGTTGTTGCACAGTGACTGACTGGTAATAGACATGTGTGCGATGCAAATTCTCCTTTTATTTACGTCAGAATTAAAAGGATAATTGAACCAGCGAACAGTGTATGGACATGTTTCAGTGTGACTGTTTTTCCTCCGGAGTTTATTCCTTTTTTTGGTAGTTCATTATTCACAGATGTTTCCCTATTTTATACATTCTGGTTAGAAGTTTTGCTCAAACTGTTAGTCATCAGTCCCTTACGACCTCTATCCATTGCTAAAAATCTTCGTTACCATATTTTGTGCACCGATTCTCGTCTCAAGTGAATGTTTGTTTCTATCCCATCAGTGTATGTAGAATCATATTTGGTAACCATCCAACACACCGTGCGCTGAACCGGTTTACTCAGTCGTGGTTTAACCCGTCAAGCTGTAAAATACTGGGTTTCTGCTGGCTCTTTTGGACCCCTTCAAGCGCACTTAGCGATCCCGGCAAATAGGGCTTACAATGAGCTTCACTTATCTTTAGATCACAAACTCACAAGTAGCTTGGTGGAACCGAGGTGGAAAGCAGATGTACTCAACTGTTGCTTTTGGAAAAATCCCGGTGTCTGTTTCAGCTTATAAGTGCTACTGAACCCCAAAGACTGCGTTTGTGAAATAATTTGCGAAGTAAATAGCACGTCACTGTACAGTGTTCGTCGATGCTGGACAGCTGGACACCTCGGTTCAATCAGCCTCTCATTGGTTGCCCCAAGTGCATTCTAGTTTCTAACCACGGCACTTCACTCAGAATTGGAGATCCCATAGGATCTCTGAGCCCCGAATACCATTAATTATATCTATCAGACGACATACTGTCGGTCATTTTCAGATGTGGTAAAGAATGATTCACAACAGAGGGCTTTCCAAACTGTTTTCCATGATCCGCGAGGAAGAAATTACGTTCCCTATAGAGGGGAAACTCGTTTGTTACACTAAATTGAAGTTAGTGTGTTACGAGGGCTGTTACAGTGTTCCAACCACAGGAGCATAAGTTTGATTCCCATAGCTCTCAAAACTGTTGTCCATTTTATTTCTCAGCGTGAAGAGCGAAGAGCAGGCCGAGTTCCGTTGAAGCTGTGCTTTCTAGATCAATATCCGGGACCGTAACCGGGTCGGTGTACCACTGGCACTTCATACCTGGGGGAGTTGGCTAAAAACGCAGATCTCAAACCAACCGGATAGATGCATGCGAACCACGCACATACCTTGGTCGTGGTCACCGGCTCGATTGGGTGTCGAGGTTTATTGGTCACATCGGACGTTCGACCCCGCGCGAAGGTCGTATGATCCGATGAACTGGGTATAGACTCCAAACGGGTTGCAGTTTTTACACCGCCCTGCTGCTTTGCGGTCCAGGCTTCGGCTAGCCGAAGGCTTCGGTTGCGAACTCTTAATTTGGCCTGGGCAACCTAGCGGTATCATGCCCTCGAGCAAATCATCAAACCACCCTCGGTTAGCGGTTGGAAAACCATTTCCATGCCTTTAGAAATTAGAGTGGCCTTCGCTTCCTTGCCATGTGGAGCTGTTGGCTGGGATACGAAGTAATTGGGGTGTACGATCTGATCAGAAAAGCAACCTACCGCCAGACCTCACGGAACGTTAAGGCTCACGATGAATCCTTGTTTCCGTCACCAGTTAAGTGCGGAGAATTCGCCTTATATCTTCTTTTCTCTTCGACTTTACCTTAGATGATGTCCCTCACAGAACTTTCCTTTATGCAGGCAGCTCCGGCGTTGAGTCTCTCTTTGAAACCAAACTTGTAGACTTGGTGTTTTCACCTTCGTCTTTTCACTGAGCTTAGTTGAAAATGTTTCATCACACCTTCAGTGCTTCTGAATTGATGGTGTTCTACTTCTATCTACTCAGTAATATAGTTTGTTCAATGATTTTTCGGTCCCATGTTTCTAGTACGTTAGGTGGAGGAGGGGAGCGCATTGCGGTTCCAAGGTTAATTGTCGGGTCCAGACCAAAGTTTTCGCTAAAGAAGAGCCCATGTAAGTGAATTGTGTCGTCGACTCAAGGAGCGCAAGACTACGATCAAACCATGTTAGCTACCTACTTCATGTCATCCATTCGGCTTACCCTGTGTTCTCATTAGCGCCACCTGTACAGGTGTCTTGGTTCGTTCGAAGTGATCCCGCACCTGTGTTGTCTTCGGGAAAATGTATAGCTTGTTTTTTAATTTCAGTTTATATACAGGCGCAACACTGTTGACAGAGAAATAGAGGAAGAAAGAATGGGTTGGAAAAAGTTTTCGTACAAACCCTGGCATTCACGTTGGTGCGAAGGTTTTGTTGTGTGGAATAAAATCAGTGCTTTCCATATTCATGGTTGGTGCCGGTGAATGACGAACTCGGTAGCTCATACTACTGACAGACCGGAGACTTCTATTGACCACTTTCCTCGGTCACGCCTGAACACTGCATCTTGGGAAATTAGTCTATCTAGGTTTCAAGACCATTGCACTGTGCAGTAATCATAACGTCAAGACGCAATAAACCGATAGTGATGATTCCAAAATGACAATACCTTGTTTCGAATCGGATGAACTTGTTCTCTGCGGTACTCCCATGTACCGTGGATATGGCAGGTCATCCTGCTGTTGAACTCGAGGGGTCACCGATGGATCCTGTTGTGTATCTCGGATAGCCGACTGCTACAAAAGAAATCAGTGGTCTGACAAAATAAACACAATTTCCGGTAAAATACTAACTTTATCCTTGGTTTTTGGTTGGAACTGTCGACTATTTTCGTTGCGCGTTGCTGACAAAATGAGTCAGCAGTAGCACCACAAGCTTTGTCCCATCACTGCTGTGCATCATGTTTGATCTTCCTCACTTTCAGTTCACGTGAGCCAAATTCCTTGATATATTCATGCACTTTTCCCTCTCATGTTACGCAAATGACCCATTTACATTCAGTTGTGACTCCAAATTAGGATTGTACATCGTGGCATCACTATAATACAACCAAACATTTTACCCGTTTATGCTAAACTGTCGGCTTGTGTTTCAATCCACTTATTTTCGGGCTGATAGTTTTCTGTCTGCGACATAAATACACCCACATACTGCTTATTTTTTACCACTATTACAACTAACTACCATATTATGTAAGCACTCACACCTGCGTCGTATTTTATGACAGTCAATCATCATTTTTGATGGAATGAAAGAGAGATCGGTTTCTAATCTCGGTCTACTTTGCGTTGGTCTCTTTTGCACACCAAATGTTGATGTAACAATTTGATCCAGGGTAATCTGGTTCCCATATTTGTATACCGTTTATTTCATTTTCGCATACTGTTTGCAACACAGAGCAAATTTGTTTGATTATCGACATGAGTTGAATTCACTAAACCTCAGTAGTTATTTAGGTCAAGCGTCATGTCTGTCCAACACTTGCTTTCATTGTTGTTCACACTTGCTGCTACTATGATAGAGAGTGCAATACTGAGGTCAACTACACAAGTAGGTTATGAAATTTATGTTCATCGATGGAATAAGCAGTCCTCATAACCGATTAATGAGGACCCTAAGGCAGCCAACCGGTAGCAGCGCTTTTGTTACCTGTTATTATTAGCATGTCTGGTTGCTGGAAAATGCATATATGTATATTTGTATTTCGTGATTTGTGTTGACCGGCCTGCTCCAGTCCCCGGTACAGAACATTTCAATAGCTGCATATCCATCGAACTTCCACGATCGGTAACTTCACCGTCACGCAGCACAGTTTAGCACCTATCCCGCTGGGTTTTCTTGTGTTCCTTCATTCTATATGCCAGTGCTCAGGGGTCACTGGTTTCCTTAATTGAACAATAATTTCCGGTGATCGTCTGGCTCACCCCTTCCGAACATTCATCACATTTCTTGATGGACATGATGAAGAGTGAATTTTCTATTACAAATTGTGGAAGTTTTTACCTATCTATCCGATTTCTCCACTGTTGCCATTGGTTACACGATGCATGACGACAGTTCCTTATGTTTCACCACACAATACTGACAATCATGATTTATAAGTTACTGATATGTGCCATAGTTCTAACAATTAAATGTTTTATATTTTTAGTTATTTTTTCTGTCAATATAAACTATAATTCCCCTCTCTCGCATTTTCTTCTTGCTCTTGTTCAGGTTCAGCACATTTGACGGATCATTATCGTTTGAACACATTCCAACTTTGATTCATTTGAAAAGTCTCTTCTCCTCTTTATTCACATCGTACGAGACAATCAGTCATCGATTTACCATTCCAGACACAAAAAACCCAATGAATCAGTACATGCACACAGCTCGTGAAATGTCCCGCCTGTTTTGTGGTCAACGCAGTCCGAAGGACAACGACCTAGGCCGATTAATCTATCTGATTGAATCATTTGATGCGTTCAATGTGTCCGATTTTCTCATACACATGGAATCCACCTCACCCGCGGATGTGGAATCAAAGGACCAGTCGGATTACACCGGTCGGCTTCGAGCACACCGACTGAATGCATGCGGTCTACTTGAATACGTGCTGACCTTGAACCCCGTACGGAATGCTGCCGGTCGGCTGAGACAGTTCCTATTCGGTCAGACTGCCTACTATCCTTACACGCCACTAACTGAACAGATTATTCGAGAGGCAAGTACGCGATATCAGTTGCTGATCAAATTGCATCAGTTGACCAAGTTCTACTTCAACACTACGCGTCCTTGGATTGAAAAACTTTTCACTAATAGTTCTCGACTGAATGCGTTTCGTGACCAGATGCAGACATGTGCTGAGGATGACTTTTTCCTGCCCTCCCAAGTAACGAAAGCCTGTGCGCTCATCCGTCGTTGGTCCGATCCCGCAGTGATTCCGGAAAACTCCACACAGACACATTGGACCGGGACTTTAAAAAGTGCAGATTTTCTGTTTGGTTTGATCGAATCTGTGCTGGACTGTATGCAGTTGGAAAATAGATTTATTCCGTTCACCGATAAAAGCCAGTTTGACGAATTCCTTGAGCGAAACCAGTTGGATTTGCTACGCAGTCCAATTGGAGTGATTTTTGAGAGTGTACCACTCGTATGGGATAATCAAACGGGACGAGCTACACTTCCACCGGACAATCAATCTGACGTGATTTCGCTTGTGTTTCGCAAAAGCCCGTTCGCAATAGACACAACATATCGGTACAAAGTTCTTGACTATTATCGTACCCCAATCCCCAGACGTCATCCGTCAACCGATATGAAATATTTCACCAGTGGATTTATCGACCTTCAAGAGGATTTGAGCCGAGCTATCGTCCAGCTGACTAGAACACCACCAGACCAGGAGACCTCACGAATCCATACAGGCACAGAATTCAAGCTTTTCCCCACAGCCCCGTTTGTGAATGATGGGTTCATGGACTTTTTTGCACCAAATTTGCCTCAATTGATGGTCCTCGCTTGGTCTCTGACCGTGGTGTCGGCAGTCAAATACATGGTGGATGAGAAGGAACATGGTCTGACCGAGATGCTCACTCTGCTTGGTGTGCCCCCCGTACTGGGTCAAGCTTCATGGTTCACCGTATCCATCATTCTTATATTGCTATCATGTGTGCCCATTTTAGGCATTCTCAAGTTAACCGGGATTGTAATGCATTCGAATTCGATGCTATTGTTCTCTTTCACCATGTCCTATGCGATTGCCATTCTTTCATTCGCTGTGATGTGCAGTTGCCTTTTTCATCGCGCAAATCTTGCCGCGGTGGTTTCCGGTTGTGTGTATTTTCTGTTCTTCTTACCAGCACCTCTGCTGCTGCGCTACGAGAATTTTCTCTCACCCGAGGTGCTCTATGGGGCAAGCCTTCTACCTCAGGTCAGTCACGGATTCGGTTGGGCTTATTTCATTCGGTTGGAAATACACGGGACTGGGGCTCATTGGAACAGTTTGTGGCACGTTGATCATTCCGACGCTCCCTACTCGTTGGGTTTGGCATTTGTCTTTCTCTGGATCTCAGTTGTGCTGCATTTGACCATAGCCGTGTTTGTGATTCCCTGGTTTCGATTCGCTTACCGTTGGGCCATGCCTGGATTGACTCGTCTTCTATACGGCCCCAGTGGACAAGCTACGTATCACGGTTGGACGAACGCACTACGTGAACATCGACTAACAGCTTTCCTACGCGAACGACGTCTAGGTAATAATACTGATTTGTCTGAGGGTTCAGCGATCGCGAATGGGGTGAATGGGGTAGGTCACGCGGGCCCGCCGGAGACTCCACCGGCTATCCGTTCGACAATTCCGACTGTAGTTATTCGACGACTAAACAAAACCTACCGATGTCCGCATTTTGTCGCCCTGGACAACGTCTCATTGACTATGTTTCCGGACGAGATCACTGCAATTTTGGGACATAACGGAGCCGGAAAAACAACATTAATGTCTATTCTAACGGGAACTACACAATCAACCGGTGGAATTGTACTCGTTAATGGTTTTAATGTTCGTACTCAGATGGATGAGGTACGGGAGCAAATGGGCTATTGTCCTCAACGTGATATACTCTATTCCGATCTCACGGTTGCTGAGCATATTCGTTTTTACTGTGCCCTTCGTGGGTTGACTGGGAGCATGCTACGTTCAAAAGTAGACGCTTATTTGGACGAGTTCAATTTCCAAACCAAGCGGAACGCATTAGCTAAAACGTTATCTGGTGGTCAAAAGCGCAAATTGTCTGTTTGCTTGGCTTTTGTTGGAGATGCTTCAGTTGTACTTCTGGACGAACCGACGGCCGGTGTGGATCCACTATCCAAACGAGTGATCTGGGACACCATACGTGCCATGCGTCCCGGTCGCACAGTGCTGTTCACCTCACATCACATGCGCGAAGCGGAATTTCTTTCCGATCACATTGCCATTTTAACTCGCGGTCGTGTGTACTGTGCCAGTTCAAGTGTGTCTTTGAGAGCCCAATACGGAGTCGGTTACGTTCTGACTTTGGATAAGAGTTCCGTGGTTGATCAACTATCCTGGTCCGATTTAATTTCAATAGTTCACAAATTCATTCCACAAGCGATTCGAGTTTCACAGACAATGAACTGTGTGAAGTTGCGTATTCCTTTGGAAGCTGCCTTGAATGGGACTGATTTGATTCAACTGTTCCGACATTTGGAATCCCATCCATGCGGTGTCCGAGTTAGTGTGACAGATACCTCACTGGAGGATATTTTCATCGAGATCATGACTGCGGCTATGCCAAATTGGGCTAACACATCAGACTCATCTTCTCAACTGCTTGATTATACAAATGATTTAGACATGTCTACCAATGGCCAAATGAACGGCATAAGCTCACCAAGTAGAACACAAGCGCTGTCCTCTCCATTGCCTCAGTGCTCTATGTCTCCCGTATCCCTAGGCGGATATGTGCCTGATCTGGAAACTTCCCAGTCTACTTGTACCACCCATTCGGAAAGCGAGCACTCTTCCTTTGTTCTCAATCCAGGTGTCTCGTTTGTCTCACAACAAACTGCCGTGGTCTTTGCCAAACGCTGGTATCATTTACGTCGAAAGAAACTGCTCTGGGTTTTGGAATTTCTCGTCCCGTGTACCTTAGTTCTGCTATCTCTTATTCTGTTCACACTCTATCGACCACGTGTTGATCAACCTCCTATGGATCTTCATCCTTGGCTGATGACTGCGAAACGCAAAATCCCGCTAGTTAGTTTCATTGCAAATGAGGTCTGTTCGAGTGAATTCCCACCGAAGCAAGAATCGACGGCGGCTGTGCGAATGTATAACCTTGTTAATGAAGATGCTTTCAGTTTAACCGGTGCACGCTGCTTGCCACGATCTGTATATACTCCGAGACCGGAGGACGGACTTGAATGCCATATCCAACCTGCTTCACCAAAGCGGAATGTGATTCCTTCCCCCATATCCGCGCCTAACTCTTGTGTTTTAACGAATGCATCTAAACATGTGCCGTTTATTCCACAACGTCAGCTGCCCGTCTCCGGAATATTACTCAATATGACACACATTGACATCCCTCAATTTATCCTCCATTCTTCCGTACCTGGTGAGATGTACGGTGGTCTGAGTATAGGCGTGACCCATTCGAAATTGACCGCTTCTAATGAGGCTCTGATCGACTTGATGCAATCGGTTCGTAAGTGGCTGTCTCACTGGCTGTGGGATTCGTCTGGCACATTGAAAGTACCCGCATTGACTCGAATGTTTGACCTGAACTTTACTACACTGGTTAAGTCACTTCTTCCACCTGTCGATCGTATCAGGGTTTGGTATAATAACAAAGGATACGCAGCTGCTCCGGCCTATTTGAATCTGCTGCACAATCTTCAGTTACGGGCCCATGCAAATCGATCACAAACGAGTGCCCCGTCCATTGGTTTGGTCATAGCCAATCATCCGTTACCATTTCCCAAAAATACCTGGTCTTTCACATTTCGCGAGACATTAAAGATCGACGCAGTATTTTCGTTGTTCCTTCTCCTTGCTCTCTGTTTTATCCCGGCCAATTTCTCCGTCCTCCTCGTCGAAGAACGTCAGCTAGGCATCAAACATTTGCACTATGTGTCCGGATTGCGACCCCATTTATATTGGTTTGTGAACTACGCTTGGGATTGGCTGACCTATTCCTTGATGGCTTTGATCTGTGTGATATTTTTGGCCCTGTTTCAAAAATTGGCTTTTACCAGTATTATCGCCGTGGGCCCGTTCATTCTAATCATGCTTTTGCATGGCTGTGCCATTATTCCCCTGATCTATTTGACCACATTCGTGTTTCGACAACCCAGTACCGCATTCGTCCTAATCTGTGCGTTCAACATGCTCGTGGCCACGGTGACCACATCGGTCAGCTTCTTTCTCGAACTATTAACACTACAAGAACCGAGTTTGCAACCACTGACCACCCGTGTCCAATTGGTTTTGCGCATCTTTCCGCACTATTGTCTTGGCAGTAGTATCTACGATTTGTCAGTGACACGTTTCCTCGTCGAGCAAGGTTTGTTGCCTGAACAGACCAGTTCGTCAATCTGGACGCTACTCTATCCGCGTATGCTTTGTCTCGTCGCGCACACGATTTGTTATTTGTTCATTCTGGCCCTGATCGAAGAACGATTTCGTTGGATACACGGATGTGCTTTGCGCGGTCGACGCAAAACCGCACCAACTCCGGCTTGGGATCTGGAATTGGCAAATGGACAGTTTATGCCTTTGACAGTGAGTGAAATTTTGTAGTTGACTGTTTTTGATTTTGTTGAGCTGTGCACATAAAATGTGTCAGTTCCTGTCTTTTAGCTGCTTTATTCGGTCAGCCATTGTAGAATTAAGTAGAAAGAGAGAATAAGTAAATCGTTGTGAACAATAAAACATAAAGACATATATAAGTATAGAATAAACTAGATATGTCCAGAATGTGAGTGGATGCTCGCTTGTGCTGTTTAACGATATCTGGTTGCACCACCCGCTGTCTCTGCAGCCACTGATTAGACTGGTCCTGGTGTCTTTAACCGGGATTTCGTATCCTCATACTTTGGGATCAAACGTTTTTGTGATTGGTCCGCTCTGGTTGCCCCAGGACATCGAGGAGCAACGTCATTCCCCATATCATTTCATTTTAGAACAAGCGGTGAAAACCGAGTTAGGTTTAATACCAGTGGTTTCTCCTCCTGTCATGCTTGTTTATCTATTGAAAGATGATTTTCACAACTCTTATTTGTATTTCATACTCACCATATTTAGGCTAATCGAATAGTGCGGTTGGCAACTTTGCACCCGGGGTGTGTAATGATGTCAACGGTTTTTACAGTGTGATCACATGCTTATGATGTTGTGTGCTGCCGTTGATGATTCGATAAAAATAGTTTATTCGACGCGAACGTCACCATGAATGCGTTTTAATTCTTTCCCAGAAATTCACATGTGTATTTCATCCATCTAATTTCTTCGGCTTCATTCTCGAGAAAGGCAGTTTTCTGGACATTTATCGTATCCATACATTCACACACACACACACACACACGCAGTCTCTCTCTCTCCGTCTCCCCACCCTCCCTGTTTTTCGACGAATCAGCCGGACAAAGCGACTCTGAATGAAAATTCGGCCGTTATTCAAATCAAACACCTTTCCAAGCGTTATTATGGACAATCCCGTCCAGCAGTGAATAATCTGAACTTGAATATACACGCTGGCGAGTGTTTTGGTCTGTTGGGTACTAACGGAGCCGGTAAATCGACCACGTTTGCAATGCTGTCTGGTCAGTTGTCTGTAAGACCGGACACTGTGACCTTGAACGGATATGACCTCGCTCGACAGCTGTCCGAAGCACACCAATTCATGGGATTTTGTCCGCAATCCGATGCATTACACGATTTCCTAACCGCACGCGAGACTCTGATCATGTATGGGCGATTACGTCAGCTATCTGGATCGCGACTTTATTCGGTCGTACGTCGTTTGCTTCACAGTACCGGGCTCGAGTCATACGCAGACCGACTAGTTTGTACCTTCTCCGGGGGAACCAAGCGTAAACTATCGGCAGCGATCGCGTTCATCGGTGACCCCAAAGTGATTCTACTAGACGAACCCTCTAGCGGGATGGATCCGGGTGCACGAAAATTGCTCTGGCGATTGGTCCAGTCGGCCGTACGCCGGGGTTGTGCAGTCGTGTTGAGTTCACACTGTATGGAGGAATGTGAAACCTTGTGTGATCGCGTCGGTCTTTTGGTAGATGGTCGCATACGATGTGATGGGGGCCCGTTGGAGTTGAAAGTACGTTACAGTGTGGGCTATCTGGTCGATTTAGAATTGACTACATCCGCAATCGAGCTGGGACGGGAAGAATTGGAGTCCCGGCTAGGTGTTGTTCTGCCCGGGATCCAGCTACGTTATCCGCTGACCGCTCGACAACAGTATTCCTACTCCAATCGCGACCAGTTGTCCTCCTTGTTCGAAGCATTGCATAACCTTAGACAAGAACATTTGGTCAGACATTTCTCGGTGAAGCACAGCACATTGGAAGATGCGTTTGTGCGCTGTATCAACCAATCGGAAACATCCTCATCTATGTGATTTTATTTTCTCTGTCCCTTTTCTCTATGTTTTATTATTATTCCTATCTGTGCCTATGCGCTCCCCCCCTGAGTTGGACTACCGCTCATATTGATGGCAGTAGAATGTGGGGCTCGTGGAATTGGAGGGAGGGTGTGAGCGTGAGGGAAGAAAATGACTGTCTCAGAATGCGGTATCTCTCGAATTCGCCCGTTGACACCTTTTGAACCAGCGAGCCACGTACAATCCACTAACGCGATTCAAACCTAGTCATGCAGTCTATATTTCTGCGATTTTCACCGTGTGACATGTATTTTTCTTCGAATTCATACAGTTTTTTATCCAACCCCATCGGTATGTATGCTTATGTATGCGTGATATTATGTGTGTGAGGGGGGGGGGTATATTCGAGTGCCTATTTTCCTGTATGTACCGATTTCAGCATCAGTATCTTTTCGCCTTATTGTTCTCATTCAGCACACTCCCCAATGACGTGCCATATTCTTTTTTATTCTTTTTTTTTAAAAATTCACCCATCCACGGCTGTATTGATTATTGTCATTGTTATTGTAATTGTTATTATTCTCGCAAACATTAGCAATTCTATCATGATCAACCTTCATTTTCTCTCTCTATGTATGTCACTTATTTTCGCCTTCGGTCTGCTTCTGATTTCCACTCGTCATCTCACTTAACGCTGACGGCTACATCCCCGGATCCCGGTTTGCTCAAGGCCTCTCCTCCCTCTCCGTCCCATCCCTGAATCGAATAACAGATCGTTTGTTGTGTTTTCTACATATGCGCACACGGAGCGAAGGACAGTGTATATTCATCTTGTCTGACTCTATCTCCTTTCACTGAATCTGTTCCTTTTTTTAGAGGAGGGCATGGAGCATATTCAGTCTTCCGACAATACGCAATCTATCCGTTTTTCGATTTTTCCCGTTCACACATCTCTTCGTCTTTCTCCTCCCCGTTCTTATCATCATCATCAACGTCTTATTTTTCACACGGCACTAATTATTTCAAACTGTCCGCTGGACTCACGTCCAACTACGCGCGGTCTGCTGTGATCCATATAAACGCGATTTATTCTCACGCATTCGCAACAGGTTTAACTGTTAGATTGGTTTCATTCATCTCTCAATTAAGCAGCTGTCCCCCTCACAAGCACACACAAACCACAACCCAAATTCATTCTGATCGGCCTTAAGTGACATGGTTGTCCGAGACTCAGGCCAATTCTAACCCACCGTGTGACTGATACTGCCAAGTTGTGCCAAGTGACAGTCTGTCTGTGTTCTTTCTTTTTTCTACCGATATCAGAATCAGTATTCTTAATTTCATTGAAGATACTGAAATAAAGATGACAATCAATTTCCCACTGTCTTTATTCTCACAGTCATCCGGTAGTCAGGTCAGGATCATTGCCTTGGATTGCTGAGGATCTTTGGAATAGTGTTTTTCTCCTACCTGATTATCAGTGTCTCAACAATGTTTTGCTATCTGTACTGTGAAATTCACTGGTAGAAAAAGGACACCCGTACAAGTGTATCACATCTGTACATAGTCTTTTACGGATTCCTCTGGGTACCCTTAAGGTTTTATGGCAAATTGATTGTTCCACTGATGTTCCATCACTGAAAACTCTTCAGGTGAGATGGGAGAAGTTGATACTGCAGCGCATTTGATTTAGGTACATCCTCTTCACCTAACGGTATGTCTCAGGGATAGGCAAATAGATTTGAAGGCCATTCTACCTCATCTTGAACATCTACTATCACAAATAATTTTTTCACTTCTCTCTGGTATCTGCATGTCGAAGAATGTGCTAGCTATCCCCTCCCTCACATCTCATCGAAACGAGTTGAGTTAATTGACAGTACGGTACGGGACCGGTGGGTGATTGTGTGTTCTCGAGTTGGAGAATATGATCGCAACGAGTCCCAGTAGACCACTTTATTGTCCTATTTATTGGTATCGTTGCAGTGGATTAGAAGTGTACATCCAAATATGTGTGTACTTTGCCAACTGCGGGTCAAAACATTGTTCAGCCAATCGATCCAATCAGTTACAGTCGTACTCGTTATCGTGACCAATAACCGAAGCCAGCAGATGAAAATTTGCGAATCAGTGACCTTACACGGGACATATTAGAATCCTATGTGCTACCCTTTGAGGGAAACGGTGAGTAGGTAAGAACCGCACAGCAACTTGGGGGATTCAAACGTAAACACCCAATTGCTTCTACTCAAAACTTCACTTTGAAGTCGGAAAATGTTCCTTTAGCCTGATCGTTTGTTACGGATAAATGTCTGATGGTGGTAGAAAATAATCTGATATCTGGATTGGGGTAATCAGTCAGGTGCTCTTGCATGCGATGTAATTAAGAGCTAGGTTGTCTNCATGCGATGTAATTAAGAGCTAGGTTGTCTGGCCGAACAGATTAACAGCACGTCAGTAGGCTCGTTTTGAGTGATTTGCAATCATACCAACACATGAAAGACAAAAACCTGTTTGAGGGAAGACAGAATGCTGATCACCGATTGCTGCGGGTTCATTCCATCTTGATGCGATAGTTAAAATGAACACGCTACTATTTGCAACACCAATACTTTTTCCAAGAATGTAAGCTCAATATGCAACCATAGACTGCGGCGTATTGGATTCTACAGTCATTTCTCCGAAACCTAATGGGTTTCTCGAGCATATCACCACACACCGGACTCCGCCACCTTTCTATTTTACCCTGCTGAATTTTTTGACTGCATTGTCCGTG